TTCGGGAGCAAAGAGCGTAAGTTGAGTTGCGTCGGCTAATAATGTCTGTCATGGAAACTCCCCGCCGATTGTCGCAAGGCGGAGTGCAGAGGCCATTGGGCGTGTTCGACACAGCTTGTGCTGGTGGTCATGGTCGGACGATTACCGCTGTCGGTTTAGTCGGCTGTTGTCGACCGTCAGGTTCTTCAACCGTTTCATCAAATATTCATGCTGAAGTGGAGGTCGACACCTTTCAAGGGTTCCTCCGAAATATAGACGGCCAATAACTTTGTAACGCCTTGTTTTCCCCATTCCGGTAAGGCGTCGTAGCAAAGCGTCATAACTCGCTGCGATATGTATAACTTAAACATAGCTGAAAAAATGCCAAACGCTCCCACAGCCAGAAAAAAACTAGAACACAGTCAGCCAAAGATATAAATCGTGTACTTTAAAACATGCGGCATACAGGAAAAAAACAGAAGAATAAACACAAGTAAACACGGAACGACTGCGGAGCTATAACGCCGTGACTAACTCAGTCAGATGCCCTAAACTTGACATGACGTCGTATATTTCATTTTCTTCGGCTCTTTACCTGTGAAACATTAGTGGAAGCCTTTCTTGAACTTTATGTAGTTTCGGGCGCTTTTTCGTTACATTCTATATGAGCTTGGGCCCCAAAGGGTTGGAGGGCCAACTCACCCGTTGAGGGGTGGGGGGGGGGGGGTGGGGGGGAGGGGGGCAGACTGAGCATTGGGCGGCCAGTGTCCCACCCCAAAAAAAGCAAACCGACAACTGTGGTGCCCCCAACTTTCCCTTCCCGGAAAACACAACCAATAAGATCAAAGCGACAAAGTCTGGCAGCAACCACCCTCAGGGCTGCCTTCTTTAATTGCCGCCGCCGGCTTTCCATACTTGGGGTTATTCGATATATCAGAGGAGCCATCCAACCATTAAAAACAGTTGACATACTGTGTTACCTTTGCCATGCGACGTGCGACCTGCTTCCCAGTTCCTCATTATATCACCCGTCCGTGTTATCTTGACAGTCCTTCTTATACTGATCACGTCCGAAGGGGTTTTACGTGGCAAAACTACATCGTTCTTCTCGCCCAATCTTGTTTGCAATCCTGACCAGCCGTGCGCTTCGATATTCGCTTTAACTGAGGATAGACAATAGATCTCTGAAACGCTGGCATCTGAACTTAATGGGCTTAGTTGATATATTATAATATACGTGACCATTCTAGGAAATTCTCACCTTTGATTTACTTAACGAAGCTAAATGTTTAATGCGGGCGGTTATGAGCTTGCTGAGAGAATGATGAGATAATTGACTGATGAAGGTCAATTATACTTTGATTTGTAGCCAACTATACCTTCATTTATGCATATGTATATGCAGATTTGTACGGTCACATGCAATGCACTAGTATATGCATATCACAACACGTACATAAATACATAAACTTCTAAATTTGGGGCTTAGGACTCTCGTTCCCTTTGCTCGGCTGCGCTTAAGCATTCACACAAAACGACACCCCTGTCACGAACTGCCGGACCGCCCTTTGAAACTGCAATTGCAAACAGAATATTTTACTTTTGACCTGCATATATTTTCCACATGGGTCCTATCGCCAGCGTCATGGGATGTCGCTGTAATGCCCGATGGTCGTGTCTGTGTTGACCTGGCACACCTGTGACCGTTACATTTCAGAGCAACTCATTCGTGGTGTGTCGGACCTTGTCATCGAGACGCGCAACTGTGTCGCCTTAGCCCGCGAGAACTTCTTTTATCTGTATCGAGGTGGTAGTGTACCAGGATTCCTTGCGGCGGCCTTCACAACCGACTCAAATCCCGGCAGCAACAGCAGCAGCAGCAATCCCGAGTCACGGGTGGCTGCCAGATACGGCTAATAGCATGCAGATCCGTCACCTGCCCTGGTCACGGGTGGTGTTGCAGTGCAGGGGTTACTAAATGCATGATGACATGATGACGCCAAAGTGGCACGATAACGACAAAGTGGCAAGCGGGTAGCTCATAGCGGTCGACAGTCATTTTGGAGTGCCGTTTTATGCTGTGCTGTTTCTGGACCACCAGAGCATAAAGGTGCGTTCCAGGTGCTCGTGTTCGCGCACAGGTGTTTTGGTTGCGGTTCTGGCTGCATGCATTTCAAGTTCTTTTTCATTGGCTCAGCATGTGTTGACAGCCCGTTCCGTGCTTATGACGTCACGGAACAATATCCGAAATGGCAATTGCGTTGGCGTGCTGGGGTGGGGGAATATCTCCCCTTAGACTCTCATTTTTCTTTGAGCACCATGGATAGTTTCTGACCGGAAGTTGAAAATCAGCGTGATTAGGTCTTGCCGAGCTGACAGCTCCCTCCCCTAAGAAAATCCTATCTGCGCCATTGGTCATTGCACGAACGATGATGTCACCGGTGAGCTCTACGCCAGCTTCTGAAGACTGACGGATTAGGAATCATATTTCTGTTACATAATAAGTTCAGTCAGAAGCCATCTGTTGTGATAAAAGCCCGATTCTGTGCGATCCGGGCTCCCTGTCCTTCCTCCCCCTGGTTGAACCCATGATTCACGTTAATTTTCATTTATCCAACCCTTCAGATTGCGCTACTTGCATCAGGCAGCAAGTTGGTCCGTCCACCTACGCATCCTTTGACCTTCTGGGACACGTTATAAGGACGGATAGAAATACTGGGAACGGTATCCAGTAGCCTTCGCGATCCTTAAAAAAACACTGGAGACATTGTCCTCAAGTGTTCCCAGTGGTGGATCTGCCCAGATGCCCATTCGCCTCTCTCGTAATCGAACGTGGGCCAAACGTTGTGCTTGGTCTGCAATTCTGCATTGTTTTCGTCATTGGTAGCTTTTTACATAGGTGCGTCGTTGCACTGGTCACAATGGTGTTGGCCAAGTGGTGCTCAATTCAGTCATCGAGATGCGGGCGACGCTTCAAGCCATGAAAGAGCTGCCCTCGTCCTCGTCTCAGATTGACGTAGAATGGTAAGGGCCAGTGCGCCGCAAAACCTCAGGACTTTTGTCGTCACTTGGCCGAGTAGGACCAACCACGTGGTACTCTCATACTGCAGATCGGCTCCCGTGAAGGCATCAGTCGGGAGTCTCAGAATCTCTGCCAAGCTCTGTTTGGCATTGCTAGCGGTGTGGAACCCACGGGCTGCCAAATGCTGGCCAGAGAGTGTCCGCAGTTTACCCGTCATCGGTTCAGCTGTCTCTGGTTCATTGTACTTAGTTCGGTTGTCCCTGGTTCATTTGTCTCTGGTTTAGTTGAACAGGGATAGTTGACACTGGTGCCGTTGCCCTGGGTCAGTTGCCACTGGCTCGAAAGCCACTGAGTCAGTTGTCACAGAGCAAGTTATCACTAAGCCAGCTGTCACTAGGTTATGTTTTACTGGCTCAGCTGTCCCTGATTCAGCCGTCATGGTTCAGTTGTTCTGGATCACATGTCGCTGGTTCTATTGCCAAACGGAGCCGTGCCGGCCGATGACTTTTTACGTCCTTGACGTGCGAAGAGCCAGCACTACATCTCTTTCCAGGCATTTACATGCCAACATATGGCTAAATCCCTGGCTCATGTGTGCCTAACCTGTTATTGGTGGATATGATATGGCACGTCAGCCAAAGAAATAATGCTAGATTTGGTCAAACATTAATCGCCATTTATTCACAGCTTTTATGACGCTTTCCCTCGAGCCTTATTTTCATAATCGTCGCATGTGCTCTGTAAACTTTGCCGATTTCGAAGTCGAAAGGCATTTCAGAAGAGCGTAGCATAACTTTAATCATCTAACCTATGTTCTTCAAATGCATTTAAGTTCCGTAAAACTAGTTCCGTAGGCCGTGGGACCACATGTTAGTCACTACAAATATTGCTACAGAGCCATGATATTTGCATGTACGTCGGCAAGGCTGATATAATATTTACATGTTGAACATAATAGACTCAGTGTTAACCCTTCCGATCTCGTTGAAACTGTGCCATGCTGTCCAACTAGCGCCTGGCCACATGCTGGTAGCATAATAATGTCACGCTCACAGAAGGAGCTTCCTTCTTGGGAAGTCAATGGTGTCCAGGCATCTCAATTGGTATGAGACCATACGCTCAAAATATGATGTACCTTGAAGGTTATTTGGTCAAAGCAAAGTCACACCAGAACTTACCTTTTTACGCACCAAAGGTACACATGCTTTTGGTCAGGGGCGTTAGTTTTGTAAATGACTGGGAAACCATTCTGAACGCTTGCCACCTAACCATCTACACAATGTTTGTTTCTGAACGGACCTGCCTTGGACGACGGCGATTCAACAGCGATTTTTATTTTCAGATTGTTTTTAGCTATCAGTCTCCTGTAAATGTGAACAGCATGTTTGGCGCACTTGTGGGCACCAAATAATGCTCGGAAAGATAAGTCTGTGTGATACTTAGTTCTTTCATTTGTTGCACTATTTTAGTCAAAAGGAGGGTCTGAGCCGACATTGTAGACATGGATCTCCCAATATACTGCGCTGAGGTATTACTGAAGGTGAAGATATGGTTAGATATTGGTCAAGCCTACCTTTTCACGCATTATTTCGTGGACAAGACTTGTTTCCATCCAAAGACAACATTGCATGGCCCTTGCTTTTCAGTGTTAGATGCAAAAAATGTAACTAAAAATTGTCGTTCTTCGTAACGAACTGGGCGCAATGGTTGAAAAACACAGCTATGGAGAGAAGTAAGGTTGTCAGGCTCTTGGCCAGCACTTCCTCCCCTCCCCCTATCATTTACGCAGATCTTTGCCCTTGTTTTCAGCATTGCCAGATACCTGATACGCGACAAATTTTGGAGGGCAAGTATAGTGTATTCTTTTCAGGCATCCGCGTGAGAAACTTGAACTCATCTGTGCTGTGTTTCTTTAATTCCTGCTCCCACCGTGACATTCGTTGCACTGAAGTGTGGCCCAATTCGAAGGTGTGCTAGTCTGTATCATCTATCGTTTCAGATTCACTCCTTCCTGGTGCTCTCTGACCTAGTAATGGAAACTCGTGCCTGTACCGTCCGCTCCCGGCAGCGGACTAGGTACTACTGGCTCTGCCGTTACTTGCCTGAAGAACATTTTCGGCCGATCGCCTTCTCCTCAGGTGGGTATCTGTACAGGGCGATGAACTTCACTTCCGAAGCCATTGCTCGCAACCCGACACCGACACTACAATCACTGCTATTCGACAAGTCACTCCGCAAAGCAACGACAGGTTCATCCTAACCAGAGACCAGGCTGACACGTCCGGCGGACAGCACCCCTTAACCCAACATGCCCTCTGGTTGTCTGCAAAGTTGGGGACCTGCGTGACCACACTCTGAAGGAGCAGGCCGTTTAGGGTGTCCCTTTTATCTCCGTGATGAATCGAACGAGCGCGCCTGCTCATTCCTGGATATCTTTTGATCCGTCGTGCAACACGCCTCTGGTAACACACCAATTTTAGATGTGAACTCGTTCAAACTTTGCAGAACCAGAAGCTGGCAATGCTATATGAGCTATCTCCTATATTACTCTTCTCCGCTCCGAATTATCATCAGCTTAGTGAGATGAGGAGTCGATCCGGGGTAGTTGATGGTTATGTAGTTAACTGATTATTTAAATGCGTCTGCAGGATAGATTGCTTTAAAATCTACCAACATGGCTGAAAAGGTGTCTTTCTGTCACCCACGAAATTTTGAATCGTCTTGTCACCTGGAATCAAATCCCTCAGAAACCATCGTAATATACATCTAAAGGCAGTAAACCACAAG